ATGAATAATATAATAAAAATACCGCTGGCGGTTCCGACTTCCGCGACTCCAGGCGGGATATCGGGCACAGCATTCTACTCCTCCCACCCACACGACGCCGTCGGCGTGCCTAAAATTCCTCGTCGTCCGTGTCCGGCAGGCGCAAATTGCAACCGTCCTCGTCCGACAATGACTGGTCTTCGTCCCGTCTATTTGAGGACTGGAGCATGTGCTTAGTTTGTTGACCGGCATTCGTCGGCACCTCGCTAGTCCGAGCTGGCGGATATGGAGGTCGGCGTATGGGAGTTCGTATCGCCTTCGCGAGTCTCGGTATTCGTGAGAGCCGTGACCCCTGGGTTGCTTGACCTTGATCTGCCATTTGTAAATACCAATCCACTGAAATATCACATATTTTACAAAATTTGTCTTGCGTGTTTTCCCGGGCCGAGTTGTGGGGCGGTAATGGTAAACCGAGTCCCAAATAATTGAGTGAATATTGGGGCTAGGTAAATTGAGTCAGAAAAACTTTAATTTCCTAGGTAAATTGAAATCGAAAATCTGCTCAACTCAGCAGAATAATTTTTGGGGGGGGGGATCAATACCCCCTTTGTATTTTTTTTGCTGTTATTTTAGAAAATAAGTATATATATCTAGACTAAATCGTGTTTAGTATTTATTATATTATATTTATTTATATTTATATTTATTATATTTTTCAGTTTTGTAACTAAAGTTAAAAAAAAATCAGTTAAAAGGTAATTTAATAACATGGTTTTACACCACTGAAACTCCGTTATGTCGAGTTCGTGCGATTTCTATCCGATTTCTATTCTACCGTGCTGTAGCTGTTCTGTTTCTCGACACGGGTGTCGACACACTGCAGCGGTGGCGGTATAGCGGTTACGGCATAATATTATATTTAGTTAGTACGAATAAATATTTATGAAACTATTATTTCTGTACAAAACGTATTATTGTATTAGTGTTATTGTTATTGACTAAAAATACCAACTATTGGTATTCAATGTAGAATTTATGGTATTTAAAGTGTAAACTGTACAACATTTAGTGTACAAATTTTGGAAAGCCTAAAGGGGTTTGTGGGGGCAAAGCCCCCCCCCACTATTACGTATGCTATTCAATGGCCCATCCCTTCTCTAAACAATTCTTAAACACACTGCTGCAATGGGTCAACCCGAAAAGGTAGTCAATTCGTCTTTCCCAAATCCTGGGGAACCATGCCCTACTACCCTATCTATAGGCAGTATATCTGCTACTACACGTAATAAGTAGTGTATAATATAATATAATAATATCGACTCACCTTCCAGGTCTCGAGGTTTGTAATCCTACTTCGCAAGTGACTCTTGTGGACGAGGATACCGGTGGATAGAGATTAACACAGTTATGTACAAATAGCACCTTATTTAAATGGCCGCACCATAGGGGCGCCCACCATAGATTATCTCTAGGTATACGGTCCCCACCGTCAGTCGAACCATAGAGTAATATAGAGAGGCCGTTCCATCTGAATATTGAAGCGCAAAGTGGGTCTATTTTACAGTGTACATACTTCTGGAAAAAAGAATATTGTAAAATATTTGGTTCATCGGTTACCTATACTGAAGTATGCTATCAGTGCTAAAATCATAATTCCTATGTGATACTATCATCTACATCAAATAATTATTTTAAATTTTAATAATCCTAAAGGTTATTCTATATAATTTTAAATTTTCCCCTTTTAACCATTACTCTATGCCTACTATATTTAAAGGTTCTAAATGTGTATATTATTATACTTTCCTTTTAATTATATTGAAATGTTTGAATATAATATACGTATTTGATATAACTTAGTTCAAGTGTATTGAAGTTGGAAGACAATTATATTTGTTTGTGTTACATCAAAACAATAGTACATTTTATAATGAATTTGAATGAATCCAATTTAATGAAAGGAAAATGTTTGAAGTACATAGCATTAAAATTACATATTTACACTAAAAACAATACAATAAGTTTTTTAAACACCACAAACTCTGATATAATACAAAATAAAATAATATAGTAATTAATAATAGTATTTGGTCAACTTGACTAGTTACATAACTATATACTATATCGTATATAGTATTTGGTGTTATAACAGTTACTATAAAACAAAATATTTAAATTAAAACGTTTTTAATTTAACTTCGAAATGGAAGACAAAAAAAGAAAAAGTAAACCTATTTTTGCATTCTTTCAAAAACAAATAAAAGAAAATGAGAATCAATCCTGTCAAGTAAATGTAAGTAAATTTATAAAACAAAATAATTACAAAATACCATCACTTTGTTTTAATTAGCCTGTTCAACATCAAATAACTGAAGGAATAGAACCAACTCAAGTCCCAGTAAGTAATTTGTATTTATAAAATTAGAAAATATATACATACAACAATCGACTAGATAAAAATTAATTTTTATTAGGTAGTGCATAATCAATCTTTAAAAAAAAATATTCAAACAATTCAAACTAAAACCGATTTGCTAACTATTAATGATATGGTAAGTCATAACTTTTAAGTTTTAACTAACAATATATATATTATTATTATTTTGTTTGTTAATTATTATTTACAGCCTGTGAGCTTAAATGCATATGATATTGGTTTATGCATTGACAAACAGTTTGATGATGAGTCTAAATTGATGTTTTTAAAAAACGCTTGGACACCAAAGTACGGATTTGTGTTTCCTATTATTAAACAAGGGAAACAGAATAGAAGTTTTCAAATGGAGTGGTTAAATATGTTTAATTGGTTGGCATATAGTGACTTTAAAAAAGGCGGTTTTTGTAAATACTGTGTGCTGTTTCCTCCCAGTGGTGGTGGTAAAGATAATCAGGTAATTTGTGTTTTATAACTGAGAAAACAATTATGAAATTAGATATGATTAAAATAATTAAATGTATATTGTTTTGTTTTTTAGCCATTAAGAGCATTTGTGACAGAACCATTTGTTAATTATAAAAAGGGTTTAGAATTGTTGAGAAACCATGGAAATACTGACTATCATCAACTTTGTATTGAAAAAGGATCTGCATTTTTACAAAATTTCAATGCAGGAGGTTCAAAATCTATAAACATTATGAATCATAATCAATTTATGATTGATGACAAAACCAAAAAAATTGTGGAAGCTAATAATTAATAAACAACGGTTGACTCCTATCATTAAAACTATCATATTTTGTGGTCGAAACAATTTAGCTCTTAGAGGACATAGAGATGATGGGTCTCTCAACCCTGAAACATCAATTATTGGAAATGAAGGAGTATTTAGAAGTCTTTTAGCATTTAGAGTAGACTCTGGTGACCAAATTTTAGCAGAACATTTAAAAACAAGTAATAAAAATGCTACAATGATCAGTAAAACTATACAGAATGAATTAATTAATGTACTTCATCAAGTTGTTATTGAGGGTATAGTAAATACCCTAAAAAATAATATTTATTTCTCAATTTTGTGTGATGAGACTACAGATGTCAGTACAAAAGAACAAATGTCTTTATCTATCAGGTATTAATTTCAATTGATTGCATTTGACCTTTATTCTATACTAATTTATTGTTTTATTCTTAGATATGTTGATATGGAAGAATTTAAAATCAAAGAGGAATTTCTTGGATTTATAGAACTAAGTTCAACAACTGGGTCAGCAATAAAGGATGAAATTTTAAAACAAATTGAAAATTTTTGTTTAGATTTAACTTATGTTCGTGGTCAAGGATACGATGGAGGGTCAAACATGTCTGGTCGGTACAACGGTGTCCAAGCTTTGATACTTGAAAAACAACCTTTAGCAATTTACACGCATTGTTTTAGCCATGGGTTGAATTCATGCATATCAAAAGTTTGTGAACTTCCTTCAATTAGAAATATGATTGGTACTGTAGGTTCTGTTTCAGTTTTTTTATCTTCGTCTGCTAAACGTACTAATATGTTGATAGCTACCATTGAAAATCATGAATCTGTTTTATCTTCAAAAAAAAATAAATTAAAAGCTTTATGTACCACTCGTTGGGTTGAAAGACACGATTCAATCATAACTTTTCGTGAACTGTACCCTCACATTGTAGCAACTTTAGAGGAATTAGAAGAAGAAACTGATCGGGAAATATCAGCTAAATCAACAAGTTTTAACTCTAGTATAAAAAGAAGTGATTTTCTTATTAGCCTAGAAACAGTTGCTAATCTTTTTTCATATACAAAAACCTTGAGTATTCAACTACAGAGTCCAAAACAAGATTTGTCAGGTGCATTTTCACATGTTGAAAAAATTATTTGTTTATTTGAAGAAAAAAGAAGAAACTCTGAAATTGAATTTTCTAATTATTTCAAAAATGCATGTCAAGTAGCAACTTCAGTTGGGGAAGAAATAAAAATTCCACGAGTATGTGGCCGGCAAACAAAAAGAGCCAATCCAAATACATCAAGTCCTGAGGAGTGGTTTAGAGTTACAATTTTTATTCCATTTATTGATCATTTTATTATTGAGTTAAAAACAAGATTTAATGACAGATTTAAAAAAATTATACCTTTGGAAGGTTTAATTCCAGCTAATAAAGATGTATACAACATTGATGAGATTTTGAAAGCATCATTAATTTATATGAAGGACCTACCGGCAAACTCAGATATGGAGTTACAATCTGAATTGGAACTTTGGAAATTGAAATGGACAAAAACAGATATAGTAGAACCAAAATCAGCTATAGAGACATTACAGTATTACAGCAAATTGCCGCCCCTTATACATGTAAATACTATATCAAATATTTTTTCACATAAACATTACTAAAATATAATTAATTCTGAGTTCATTATATTTATTTGTATAAAGTTAACAATTGATTAGATTGATATATTTATAGACAGGTAAATCTTTACTAATTTAAATAAATCGAAACAATTTAAAAATAATTGTATTATAATAAAAGTTAATTAAATCATAATATAAATGTTAACATCGTATTAGAACTTTACTTTTCTTGGTTTTGCGTTAGGTACAACTTCTTCCATGTCCATATTATAGGCTAATTCTTTCTCGATGGAAATCATTGCAAGGCCTACTAAGCGATCTTGTGACATTTGGGATCGTAAATAATTTTTAATAATTTTTAATTTTGAGAAACTTCTTTCTCCCGTGGCAGCCGTCACATAAAGTGTTAAAAGGATTCTTAACGATGTATAAGTGTTAGGAAGAAGTTCAACAAATTGATTTTCACAAATGTATTCCAAAACAATCCGAGGATTAGTCTCTGTATCATTGAGCCGTCTTTGCAGAACTGTAATTTCATCATATAATTCTACTGCATTAATGTCAGAAGTTAAGCTGTCATCTGATGCAAATGCTAGTTGAAGGTCTTTACAATGAGTCATAAGTTCATCGCTATTTTTTATTTTGGAAATGTCATAAAGAAATGAAAATAAGTTTGCATGCTCAGAAAGTGCCATCATTATCCTTCATATTATCAATCTCTAAATTTAAGCTGTCATCTGGATTTTCGATTTCCAAGTTGAAATCTGTAACTTCCGTATCTTCATCGATAACTTTGGATTCGACAGTATCATCATGTTCAGATTTAAAAAATTTAAGCATTAAGCCGGCTTGTTTGGCAATTTCAGCTTGCGCCACAGCACGTCTTTTTCTATACTGCGATCCCGATAAACGGTGTCGCTAGTTAGTGTTACCCATGTCAGAGTTATTCATTCTTAAATTATTATTGTATAATAAGATAGGTACCTAAATTAAATAATTGAATTATAACTCATTAGATACCTTAATTTTACTAATACATAATATTATACATAACTATAAGTTATAATCTTGTATAACTATACAACCTAATGGCATTAGGTACTTATAACGCGTTATACATCAACAACAAACGGTGATACTATCATAGATATATAGGTAATAGTACACTTTAGAAGTTTCAAGTACCCACGAATAATATTATACAATCACAACAAAATAACTAAAATAGTTCTTCTAGGTTTTTTTTATATAATTTCGTCCAAGTTTGAACTTAAAATGACTATAAAAATAAACTGTGCTTATGTTATTTTTAAATTTTTTGGTGACAGAATTAACTACTTAAGTGGAATCTTGTTTTAAATTTTTAATCCTTAAATATAAAAGTTGAACATTTTATAAATTTTTAACTACAAAATAATTATTCAATTTTAAATTTGATAAATTTGATAAATTTTGTCAAAATTCGATCTTTAAATGCTTACAAAAAAAAAAAAAATGAAAATGTCCGTTAACAGCTCAAAAAGAGTCAAAATATTTTCAACATTGTATGGTGTATAGGAAATGCTAATATAAACATTCAGTGAAATTTTCATGTATCTACAGTTATTCGTTTTTGAATCACAACAAAATAAGAAAATCGCTACATCAGAAATCGAGTAAATATCCAATGTTGTAAAAATTTGAATTTCAAACGCTCATAAAAATTTAATTTGACTTTCTATAGACATTTTTTTTTGATAAAGGTAGATAATCTTGTATTATTTTTTAAAATATTAGATTTAAAAAGAAAAAATTTTATGAATTCTTAACTCAAAAGAATTCGCAATTTTCGTGATTTCTCCATATTTTGTCAATTATTGAACTTTAAATGCTTATTAAAAAAACTGTGACTAAGGATTTTTAATATTTTTCAAATTTCATTGTAACAATATATGAGGATATATTGTTTTCAGAAAATTTTTTTATATATTATGATATTCTTGACCAACAACCTTTGTTTGTTCATCTAATAATTTATGTGGCCACACTTTTAAGAAAGTTATTAAATAAAACAGACAAAAATAATGATAATACATTTTGATTATACACACTTTATTTTACAGATAAGTAGTTTAGTTACATCAATACAATTTAATTGTTAATCCCATTGTTCTTCATTAATTCTTAATTTTATACTCACTACTTTATATGAAATCATATTTGGGTAAAGGTTGTGGGTCTGAAATATGAAAATGTCAATAAACAGTTCAAAACCAATCAAAAATTTTATCATACATAGAAAATGGAAATATAAACAACCAGTAAAAATGTCTTGTACAATCATTTGTTTTAAAGTTACACCAAAAACCAAAGTCGATTTTATTAAAAATCGATTTTGAGTAAAAATTCTAGTTTTTTCTTAAATTTTCTTGTTTTTCTTGGTGCTTTTGAAAATAACTGAGAATTTTGACCTCCTCAATGCACCAACAATATTCAAGTTCCCAACGAACAAGATACTGAAGATGAAAAGCGAAGCATCATTTCGACTACTTATCGTGTACACAGACACAAAAAAATATTTTAAAAAAAGAAAAACATTATTGTAAAATCAATACATCTATCGTTCCACTCAGAATCTAAAATTGTCAATACATGGGTATTCGGTATTTTTAAATCTCTATCTTCTCCATTCAACCCATCGCCTTAGTGTTGACGGTGGGAGGGGGGGCTGTGTTACATATTGTATCTTTTCAATACTACTCATCCCTATATATGTGTGACAAATTATTTTATATTTATATAATACATTATACACATCATATTGCTTGTTTTTAAATTCTAAACTTAATGTAGTAAAATAGTAAATGTTTCTCTTCTTAGAATAATAATATGTTGGTATATTTTATTATAGGTAATCATTATAATTAATCCAGAATCAATAAAATCTATCATAATTCATAATCATTTAAACAATTCAAAACTATTTAGTTTTATTCTCACAATTCACCAGAAACAAATATTAGAATAATAAATTACGAGTTTAATGAATTTTCCACTACTTGAGAACTCGGTTGTGAATGCATCTGTATTGTAAGTCCTGTTGGTATGATAGTCATTTCAGTTATCTGCAAAATAAACATTTGGGAAATCAAACATAATGTTATACTTAACTTATAATATTTTTATTTTTTTAAATAAATTATTATTATTAAATCAAATACGGTGAAAACATTTAAGTTTGTAATTTCAGGGATCAAATTTAGTTGTACATTTTCCTTTTTGAAGTGGAACTTCTTTACACAGGGTAGTGAGGAAAAAACGAAATGTAACTGGCCGCGCGTACAAACGGGCGGCGCCAGTGTCGCCAGACTCTCAAACTAATATTATCGTAAAGTACTTAAATAATTATCGTTTTTCAAAAAAATTACCTTACACTAAAAATTTGTTTGCTTTAGTCCCCAGATTATAATACCCTGTATAGTATATAATATTATATTGCATAATATACCAACTAAAGTGTACATTCGATAGTGTTGTCACAGAGACAACATTTTAGACTAGCATTACAACATACCGATGCTTCGACCAGTACGAATTCTATAATATAATAGTATTACTATGAGCACGTGTATTGCATTTGTATAATATGTTATCTTGTACCACTAATGGACTACAAATACAAGACATGCGTTTTAAATCACCTGTACAACAAGCGTATTATAATCGTTATCGGACGACGGTGGACTAGCTATCTAAACAGCGTCTCTCTAAATAGCAGGTTCAATTATCATGATTTGTTATTGCTACTCCTTCGACTTCCATAACGCGTTGGGTTAGGGTACCACAACACGCGTATATACCATGCTCCTCGTACAGTATACATAATATATACCATACACATATTATTATGTTATCGTGACTTTTACAAATAAATACAAATGCCGGCACTTGTTGACATTAGGTCACGTTGTATGATTCATGACCATGTGATTAGCCGGAAACGACTTAAATAATAATAGTGTCGTGAATAGTTTGTAATATATATTTGTACAATATTGCACTGACGTTCAAAATGTTTGTTAGTTCGCAGTTCGTTATTATTAATTAATCCAACAAATGAAAGTTAGTTAGCCAGATCGAGATAATTGTTTGCAGTATTGTTTTTCTCCAGAAAAAAAATGTGTGAGTGAATTTATTAATTAATATCAAATAAAAAAAAATTAAGAGGTAAAAGCGTTGCGAGGTAAGTGGTGGTCGTGAGCACTGAGCCGCGTTAGTTAAGTGACTTTTTTTAGCTGCGAATAAATATTATATAAACGTTGCAAAATAAAAAAACTGATTCATCTATCTTGGCCCATACTAATTAATATGAATAATTAATGATCGATTATTATAGCATCTATACTGATAGCCCAATATCAGTTAGCATCTAGTATATTTAATTAATTGTTATTAATTGATTAATTTACTCATAAACCTTTTACCTGGATAAAAACAATACCACAAACAATTATCCATCGATCTGAAGAATAAAAATAAAAAATAATAAATAATTTCGGATAACTTCCTCTCATTTTTTAAATTAATTGTTATTAACTCACGTGTACCGTTCAAAAGAAGTTTCCCGCGCACGTACTGGTAACACACACACTATTTTTTTTTATTATTATTTCTATGTGTTATCAGTGCTCGAATTGACAAAACTTAAATAGGAAAGCTCAAACCAACGATTTAAAAACTGAGTTCCAAGGTCGCAATTATTAAACACAGACCCGTGGAGGGCTTTGCCCCCCAACCACCAAGTTCCTACCTTAGGTTCATATATTTTGAATATATAGTTTTTTTTTAAATGTTTATTTAAAAAGTAAAACATATAATATAATAATTATTTAAGTATAGGTATAATATACTATATAGCAGTGTTTCCCAACCTTTTTACCACCACGGACCACTTTGACAATATTTTATAGGTTGCGGACCACCTCAATTTTACTCAAACTAGGAAGACCTTTTTTTTTTTTTTTTGCTCATTGACAAGAATAAACAAAATTTTTTATTATTTTAGTGTACTATTATATATAATTATTAAACTTTACTAATAATTTACTTAGTGTGATTTTTGTATACGATAAGATAACCGTATATTACGGTAAAATAAAATATTTTTCGCTGTTTAAAAAAAAAAAATAATTTTTAATAGAAAACTAAGAAAGGTACCGCGGACCACCTATGACTGGCCCACGGACCACCGGTTGGGAAACACTGCTACATAGTAATCTATTTTTAGTTTTGTTTATTTAAGCAGTACAACGAGTTTTGATAACAGTTGTAACATTTTATGCAACCTTTGATTTGGTTTGACATACACTTTTACATGAATAACTTAGGAACCCCTGTTTCGCTGATACAACTTTGACAGTTTATTGCAAATTTAATACATTTTGTTTCTCAACTTGTTTAGCTTACATACAATATGTAGTAGAATATTCCCATTAGTTAACCATTCTTTAATAAAAACATGTTGAGTAAGTTGAATTCCTACATTTCACATCTTCTTGTGCATAGTTCGAAAGTCCATTATTAACTTTTGAAAAAAGAATATTGTAATGCAGTCAATAATCGTAACGATAATCGTAACTCTAGAATTACGGCATTGCGAATCAATAAAAAAAAGATCACAAATCGCTACCTTTTCATATTAGGAAAATATAATTTTTGTCTATAGTTTTATAGTTTTTTAATTTTAATAATGTAATATTATTAAAATTTAATTACAAAATTAGTTTTAGTAAAAATCTCAGGTCCGTTTCGTTGGTTGATGAACTCTGTTTAAGTTGTTTTTAGCTGAAAAATAAACCTTAGTATGTTATTAGTAAAAAAATTAAGGTATTATAATACTGAAAAATTTGAAAAATGTAAGACGAATATTCCTTTCCGTGTGCCGCTCAATATTATTACATAAAGAAAATTTGTTTTATATAATTAAATAAATAAACAAATGAAATGGAAATCCTTGGAATTCAAAATTTATTTATTTATTATTTATTTATTTATTTATAATGATTAACGCCAATCGGCTTTTATACAAAGTAATTGCATACAAAATAATAACAAATTTAAATAACAATATTAAAATAGTAAGACATAATAACAGTATTAAATATAGTAAGACAGCAAAAACCAATAATATGGTGAAACAAAAATAAAGGGCCCAGGCACGAAATTGTCACAAATTATATAAATTGTATACACGCATCAGTCTAGGGAGGGGTGCATTGGCAGCATAGTTGGACCGATCTGTTTGTAGGTAGAACGTGCCCTGGTATCGAGTGTTGCTAGGAACATGGATATTAAGTTTCTCTAATAATCGAGGTGCATCAATTTTCCCATTTAATAGCCCAGAAATAAATCGGTAACTATGTGTCTGACGTCTAACTGATAGTGACTCGAGACATAAAATATCATTTATTGGTTGATAGTCATGGGGTGGATGAGTAATGTTTAGGCAGTACCCAGCATTATTCAAAAACCTGTTCTGCACTCTGTCAAGTCTAAGTATATCACCAACGGTATACGGATCCCAGACAATAGAACCATACTCTAGTACCGAGCGTACTAGCGCACAATAGAGCACTGAGAGACATTTTGGAGAATTGAAACTCGCAGAGTGTCGTCTAATAAAACCAAGTATGCGCACAGCTTTGCCTACTATGTGATCAATGTGAGGACGAAAATCTAAAGATGGGACAAAAAGGAAACCTAAGTCAATAATTTTGTCAACACGATCCAGGTGTAGACCATTGAGAGAATAGTCAAACATTATAATATTTCTAGTACGATAGAATGACATAACTTTGCATTTGGTATTATTTAGGGAGAGCCCAACAATGTCGCACCAGATTGTTAGTTTTACCAGAATTCTTTGAAGTATTTGACAGTCTTCCGTGGACGACACTGTGTGGAATATCTTAGCATCATCTGCAAATAACAGGACCCTCGCTGGAGAAATGACCGAGCAAATAGAGTTAATAAATATATTAAATAGCAGGGGGCCCAGATGACTACCTTGGGGAACACCTGATAAAACTTTAAATGATTTAGATTTCATACCAAATAATTTAACAAATTGAACTCGATCAGACAGATAAGATCTCAACCAGGTTAGGAGTGGGTCACCAATTCCTAACCGATCCAAGACATATATCAGTGTATTATGATCAATCGAATCGAAAGCTTTTGAGAAGTCTGTGTAAACAACGTCAACTTGCCGCCTAGCTGAAAAAGCATCATGTACAAAAGATACAAAATCAATTGCACTAGTAGATGTTGACCGACCAGGAAAAAATCCGTGTTGGTCAACCGAGATGGTTGACAAGAGTGGACGCTGGATACGCTTCAGAACAATCGATTCAAACATTTTCCCTAAGAATGGTAGACCAGAAATAGGCCGATAGTTAGTGACATCAGTAGGGTCCCCCGATTTTAGAATAGGTGTAACACGGCTACATTTCCAAACGGAGGGGAAGATTCCTTCTGCTAGGGATTTGTTAAATATCGAACAGATCGGCAAAGTGAGATGGTTTCTACAACGATACAAAAAGATGGCTGAAATACCATCAGGTCCGGAACCCCGAGTAGTAGCAAGTGATTCAAGAGCAGCAGACACCTCGTCAGGGGTAATTGTTATTGAGGATGGGAGAAACGAAAATTGCTCTGTAGTTATCAAGTTCAATTGAGAATCAGATATCACCCTAGGTTTAACATAAACCGAGGAAAAATAAGAAGCGAACAGATCTGAAACTTGATCACCGGAGGCATTTATGCTATCGAGATGAACTTTCTCCGGAATATTCTGACTACCTTGAGCCTTACGGGCATAGTCCCAAAACGAGCGTGGATTGTTACACAACTGCTCTTGCATTTTACACGTATAGGCTCTGTACTGCTTTTTTGATTCAAATTTACATTGAGCACGTAAAAGAGAGAAACAACGGTAATTATTAAATCCACCAAATGTTTTAAAAATTTTATGGGCCTGTTTCTTTTTGACCAAAAGATCCTTGAGGTTCTTAGTTACCCAGGGTGGAAAGGATGAGTTACGAAAAGTGAGCAAAGGTACACAGTGATCAATGACATGCAAAAGTGAGTTCTGTAAAAACTTAGCTGACTGCTCTGTCGTTAACGACGATAAATGATGAGCCCAGTTAATATTTCGTAAATCATCGTTTGCCTTAACATAGTTACCATGTTTGAAATCGTGAAAAGAATGACTATTATTAAGGACAGGGATATCTAAGGGACATGTGCAGGATATAGTAAGCGCTGGATGATACATATCACAAGGTAAGAGAGGCTCAGATGATTCCTCAACTTTGACAAATTTGTTATTTGTAAAAACTAAGTCAAGGAAAGAGTTAGATATATTAGGGACATTATTTTTTTGTTCAAAGTGAAGGGCTCCGTATTGATCACCGATCTGACGGACTTTATCAGTAACAGAACCATCATATTCAAGGCCAGAGTCCCTATTAGACCATCTAATATTGGGTAAATTAAAATCACCACATACGATACCAAAATCAAATTGATAGGATTCCCATACATGATCCATTGCATCGCTATGTTTCTCATATCTAGACACATCAGAACAAGGAGGCAAATAAATGCCTGCTAAGAGTGTAGAAGCACCACCAGGGAGGGAAATGCGTACAAATACTTGTTCAACATTAATAACCGGAGAATAAACTATAGTAGGTCTGAACTTAGCATGTACAGCAATTAATGTACCACCCCCACGTAAACTAGAACTAGTATTAATATTCCTGTCGCATCTAAAAGTTACATACCCATCAAGCCCCAGCTCAGCATCAGATATTTCTTTGGAAAGCCAGGTTTCGGTTAATATATATACATCGTGTGTGGATAGAACAAAGTTAGTATGAAGGTTAGACAATTTCGTACGTAGGCCACGCACATTTTGGTAATAAATAGACAAAATATTATTTGAAAATTGCGACACAGGTTCACGGTTAAAAAGGTGTTGCCCTGAGGTAACCCTATATTTTAAATTATTAAGATCGGATAGGACCGAATTGAAGGTTGATTTAGCATTACGGCAATAAATACATTTAACATTAAGAAAATTATGATTAAGCATGCAATAAGAAGAAGAAAGTTGACTTAGGGTTGAGGTTGATGATTGGATCCGCTTCCAGGGACCCGGTTTTTTGAATTATCTTGTATAATTTTTGGCACACCATTGACATATCGTATCCGTAGACCAACCTCACCAGATTCAGCCCTGCGGTCAAGTTCGGAATGACAAGACCGAAGTAAACCACGTTCATAGACAGTTTTATCCCTGACAATCCGGAAATTAGTTGGGAACATAGCTCCACCTAGCTTAGCATCAGTGAAGCCGCGTATGAAGTTGATTGGTTCATCTTTGGATTGAAAGATAATTTTCAAAGGGCGAATATGATCTTGACGCACTTTTCCAAGACGGACAAGCTTCATGGTGGATTTAGGAATGATACTGCTATACTGTCCAAGAGTTTTTTCCAAAGCTATTTTATCGTCACTAATTCGTTGAGGAGCAGACGTGGAAGATGATTCCGATAGGCCGTATACCAAAGCATTGTGAGCACAAAGTTCTCTCTCAGAGACTTCTTGAAGCATTTGAGAAAGCGACGAATTAGAATGAACCACCGACTCAGTGCTTTCAAGGATCTCAACTTTATTTTTGAGGATGTTAATTTCATCCTTAAGTTGAGTGTTTTCAGCCTTGAGCTCGGCGGTGAGAGAAGAAAGCTTCTGTATATCACTTTTAAGCTCATTGAACTGTGATATCTGCACTTTGGATTGTGATTTGGTAGATTCTAAGAATTCAGTCCGGAAAGACTGGAGTGTTGACATAAGGTCATTAGTAGAAATAGAATTTACTGAGCTTTTTGAATTACTCCTAAGATTACGATTAGTAGTAGGTGCAGCTGGAGAAATGATATTTTGTTTAGATGTGCTCATTGTTGGAATGCAGCAGTACACTTTACGATCACCCTTTATAATAGAGAGATACAACCAAAACTACAGCAAAGCGAAAGGTGAAATATTATGTTAAGAAGGTAGGCTTAAAGAATGAAGTTGTGACGTCAGATGTAGCAAGGCGTACCTTATAACTACGCAGTGATCAACGAAAGCTGAAAACAGCTGATCGATAGCTACAAGCAGATGAAGTAATAAGATGATAAGCTTACGTGAGACCAGAAAGTTGCCGTGTAAGAATGAGTTCCAGAAGCGAAGTTGAAGCACGAACGGATCCGCAAACACGAACACGAGCAAACAGACAAAAGACAATCCAGTTGAGCACGAATCAAGCGAGTAAAGATGGCAGCGCAATTGGTTAACAAAAAAAACAAAAACGAACTTCAACACCACACTGTTATCGTATCAAATTTTTTAAAAAGTTTCAAAATTTCAAAATTTTCAGAATTCAAAATTTCTTTATTTTTCATTAGCCAATCTCTAATTTTTAGAAAATCGCTATTACCTTTTTGGTATAGATCTCTGTTGGATTATTCACATCTATTACCAATTTTGTCGTTTGGTCGTTTCGTGTACACTTCTTTCGCCCTACGTATGCCATGATTTAGCATCAATTTGCTCTATTGCATAACAAATTTCTGGGAGAGTTCTGGCAATAAGATCCAAGGTTTATAGATTATAATCTATAAACCTTGGACACGACCATCGATTTCTGAGTACGACCGGCGAGTGTGAATTAATTATGCTCGTCGATAGTATTTAATAACTAATACATTTTTTCTAGAATATTCGATAGACTTTCTATTACTATTATACCTATTAACATAAATGTAGTATATACTATTATTATAATAAATTTGAAATAAATATGGGAAATTATTTCCAGCTGCAACCAATTCGCAATAACTACCATAGGCAGTAGGATTGACCATTTCACGAACATAAGCCTCAGCAGTGGAAAAGTTGTCACCATTTGAATTGTAAGACATAGTAATAAAGTTATTCCAATTATCAGACACATAAGAAACAATTGTATTTCGGATCTCCTGACATCTTTCTTGAGTGTTAGACAAATTAAATTATATTGAACGGAAAAGGCAGGCACCATCACCGATAATTGGTACAACTATTTGAGGTGTCAACATTCCATTGACAAAAATATCTTCAATCGATGACATTTTTTAAAAAAAACATTCAAACAATTAAATTGAATAAATATAATATTTTAAATAATTTTCCAACGTCTTCCGGGTAATATAAACAAAAAAAAACAAACATGCCCGATTAACCATAGATTATACTGTATTAGCCAGTACATCGAGCTGATGTATTAATTGCCATAGAGATGTCTAAATTGTTATTTTTATATCAATATAAATTATTTTTATTTTTATTTTTATTTCACTCATTTTAATACCAATATTGTATATTTAAATTAAATATTGCTTGATAGATGGCGCCACTATCGTATTCTTTCATCCCCACTTTTACCCCCTCGTAGGTTGAATTTTCGAAAATCCTTTCTTAGTGCGCCCTACATTGCTTAAGGAACCTCTGTACAAAATTTCAAGTCTCTAGACCCAGCGGTTTGGTCTGGGCGTTGATGAGTGAATAGGGGCCGTCTCCTATATGTATAAAGATTAAAGAAATATGTAGGTATCAATATAAAATATAATCATTACATACTTGACTAAGACTGTGGAAGGTGGAAGTATTCTTGTAAATATATTTTTAATTACAGACTGTCTAAATAACTGAAGTAATAACCAGTAACCACGCTATTATTCTAATAAGTAATAACTAAAGTTATAAGTAGGTAATATCACATTATCACATCAACAAAACATTAAAACAAAATAATATTCAAATTTATTAAGTCTATAAATACCGTGCTTATCACTAAGATAGTAATAATTGTTATCAAATTAATAACAACAACATAATATAATTTTAATGTTCGCCGACTTAAATTGAATCATTTGAATCATTGGATTAGGTATTTGAAATTAGAACGGAAATAGTAAATACAGACTACTATACATTCGTACAGTGTTGTATTCATACGTTTTAGTAAAAAGTTGCCATGCATAAGTGTATTCTTTTTAGTAAGACATCCAAAGTATCGCCTCGCCACATTACCATAATTCTCATTTGTAAGTATTATTTTCTAGTTGTACTGATTATATTTCTTAATAATATGGTGCCAGTCTAATTTGTTATATTTAATTTGAAATATAGATTTCCAAAAGATGAAAATAGAAGGAAATAAATTTTCAAATTAAATGATTACCCAATTTCTATCTGGAGCAGAATCTGCGGTAATCATTTCACAACCAGTAATTATAAACAAGGCTCAGTATATAGTTAATATTATTATGGCCAGAGGCTGTCACAAAACATAATCCAAACCTCATGTCTATTTAGAGGAGTAAAATAAACAATATAAATTAAATTTTAATAACTTACAGCAACACTGGTACCACTCTGAGCACGACTAGTAAATTATCTAAGAGGTAAAATCTTTTAATATTGAATTATTTTAACAATAATTAGGTAGGTATTCAGATATTTTTTACAACTTTATATTTTCAGAAAATTACAACGATGAGTTTGAAGAAAATGAACAGACAAATAAAGGATTTGGAGACGTTACAATCGATGATTTTAATTCAACCAGAAAGCCTTAGAAAATTAATAATGCCTAATTCACACACACTTATATAAGTATATTACTCAAGTTCCGATTTTAAATGTTTGCCAAAGCCAAAAGTTACTTAGTGGTTTATCGTTTTTAGTTGATACAGTGGATTATACTTATTATGGTTTTCAAAACTGAAATATATGATGTACCACATACAAGAAACTATTAAGTTGAGCCAATGTGTTGACTTTCTTGAAGATAATTATATACATACCATATTATATGCCTAAGTAACTAGTATAAGTATATTATTATAGTATAAGTGTGCACTGTTCACATTTCAGGATCATCATCGTTTTGCAGTAACGTTTTGCAGTCCAACTCAGAACAATCAAATTCAGCATCTGATGGCATTTCTGGCATTAAATGGTAACGTCTTTCCTACCGAACATGGGTGCCCACCGCGGTGGACGCAAGCACTCGAAGAGGCCCAACCCCTCGCCGGTTCCCACGGAACTCAAGAAGCAGAAACAACAAGGTCGTCAACGCAGTGCACCTCCATCTCCAGTACAGACTGAAAGCGGCTCCATATCCAGCGAGTCATTTGAAAGCAGCTCCGCTTCGAGTCAAAGCTCACGCTCCACGTCATCTACTCCTCCACCTCAAGCCTCCCAAAGGGAACGCATCCCACCAATAATCGTGGACCCGACCCACTAGGCTACGGCTGCACCCAT